GCTCGGTGTTGTTTAAGCAAAAAAAAAAAGAAAAATAGTTCTTTTTTTTTTTTAGGAAAACATCAATAAATGTAAAACTTGAAAACATTTAGGGAATTCACCTTAATATAAGATACTCGTGGTAGATTCCGTATAATATTTCCAAATTGGAATGTCATTGCAAGGAGAGAATTGACACCAATCATAGTTCGAGCTGGCATTGCTCGCGGACTCATATAAAATGGTATCCATGAGATAAATATCGTTAAATACGTTGGGATATATCCTGAGCGATATAAAATTTGTGTCCTTCTGAATAACAGTTCTTTTGCAGGAAACTCAACATTTTAGACCGAACTTACCTTGTAAAATGTACCATCCATACCTCCTTTTGAACGTGAAAGAAACAGTAAGTTCGTCCCACAAGCCCGCTGCATATTCCTGCAAATGCTGATATACTATATTAGTTGGCAATAAATTTAAATTTGGAAATAATACAAAATATTTCTAACTTTTCGAATCAAGAACCTCTAGTATGAAAAAAAATAAAATTACAGCTTCGATGACAGAGATTGTGTAGTTGACCAAAGTGAAATCTGGTAATTCGATATCCTTAAACATTAATACAGCATGAGGTTCGTTCCACTTCATTCGCACTTCCTGAATGTTGTAATTATAAGATTCAAATGTTAGCATACATGATATAGAATCCATTGGAAAATTACGCAGATCCATAAGACATGGACCCGTGCTCTTGATACGCCAGCACGACCATATCGAGCCTGAAATACCAGATTTTAGAAAAAAAGAGTTTCTTACAAGATAACTGATATGATCATTTATCTTTAAAAATATTAAGCATGCAAATCGCTCTCTTACTGCTAGAGAGAAAACGGAATGAGCACTTTTTTTCACTTTCTACCATTATTTTATGTCTTTAAAACATGGGCTTAGGAACTTTACATACCATTTGGAAAGACCATAAGAAAAACATTGCGGAATGGCGAGCTGTGGATAAGTGCTTTTTTCGAATTAATAAAACAGGTGTTAGGAATCCAAATACTTTCATGGATGCTGTGATCAAAGCTTAAATTGCCATTACATGGGAGAAGCACTTCGTAGTTGAGTGCTGGATCCTCCCAAAATTCGTTCACATATAAATCTGCAAAATTGAGACTAAGATTTCGATATAATATTCAAACTTAAATTTGAGGCAGAATATGAATGAATTTTTGCAGAAAATATCCTCAAACATAACAACCATTCGGTTTATTAGCATAACGTAATTCTGGTGATGACTAGAAAAAAAATGTAAAAATTTCGAAAAAGTGGAAGGAAATTGAAATGGGGTGGAAAGAAACAGGCACACAACAATTATGGGACTTTGATACAGAATGACATGGAACCAAATGTTTAATCAGTTTTAATATCCTGCAAGCATATCAAAAAGTATCAACTATCTGCTTTCTGCTGACGGAAATATCCAAACTCCTTTTACATAGACTGATGTTTTGCGAAATGGAATTTGCTGTCTTTTTGTGCGACACGTGATATTATGATATTCGTTGCAATGATCTATGTTCAAGCAAGTTTAATTTCTCCAATTAATAATGAAAAGATCCAAGTGGAAATAAAATCTGTTCCGCTTTGTCAACTTTTTTTTTAATGAACTGGATTTCCCAAAAAATTTTCGGTGGAGGTATATGGGATTCTTACCTGGAAAAGCTTTTGAAAAAAAATAAATAAAAAAACAGATACATGGATCCCTTGATTGAAACACGAATAAGCGAATTTAAAGTAAGTAATAGTTGCTCCTTTTTCTGGCATAACTAAGAGTAAATATATTCCTACACTGTATGGGCAGCAAACTCTCTCAAATTCAATAATTTGCTGCATTTAGTAGAAATTTCATTTTAACGCAAGAAATACTCGGGAAAAAGTTCAACAAATGTGAAAATCAATAAAAGCAAAGTAAGCCTTGAAAAGTGTTTGGCAATCTGACCAATTTCATGATAAGTTTCAGATCCATAAAAAATATTCACAGAAGTCATATGTATAAATGAGGTGCTAACATGGTAATCATTGAAGTGGGACTACCCATTACTTTTGAACTTGAAACTTGAATCAAACCATTTAAAAAACGCAAACCTTCTAGGATTCAGGATTTGGACAAAAGAAATGAAACCATTCCATTATGTAAAGCCAGGGCCATAAAATGTCTTTCTACGGTACGTCATAGGCAGCATCGGCATAACAATGATGATTTTTTTTTCTTGTCTTCCTACCGTCAAATTGATTTTTAATTAACCCCGACGAAGATTACGATTGGATAGACAACATAAATGCCGTATGAGTTTTAGTTTGCGGATTATTTTAATTATTCTAAACGAACCAATTTCAAAATCCTGAGTTAACTCGGAAACATAAGTTACTTCTTGAATCCACATCTCGATTCGTACAATAACTGGTCTAGACGGTAACTTATGGCGATTGTGGCGGAGTGCAGCCTCAGTTAAAAGATGATCCATGACGTCGGTGTCATTAGAGCAGCGTTCTGGACGGAAGGTTACTACCGCAACTGCACATAATTGCAGTAATAGCACTTTTTGCAGGCAACAAGTCCGACTAGACCAACCTAAGATCGTTTTTTGGGACATGGCTGCCTAAATGTGGACAACCTTGTTCGTTAGAGTTGTTATTGTCGCTGTTGTGGTGACTACTGCGATTTCGAAGTAACTCAGCTTCATTTAGTCTCCGTCACTTACTGCCTCAAGCTCAACCCTCTTTTCTAGCCTTTGAGGGGCGTCAAAGCAGAAAGCCAAGGAAAGAGAAGCCATCGCTTATAATCAATAATTTATAAAGCTAAAATCTTCAACTTTTCCAAAATAAACTTTATGAAAGATAACATGTTCATTTCTCGCTGCAATTTTTATACAACTTGAAGTATTTCCAGCAATAGTCAATTTTTGTAAAGTAAGTGATCCACACTTTACTTTAAGCAAATTTTTGGAAGAACACAAATATTTCGATTGAAAATCTACAATGTCAATATTTTTTGCACAAAAAAAAAAAAGAAAAATGGAAAAGTGACCAGGATTGAGCACACTTCGTTTCAAGCAGGTGTTTACTAATCAGTCAATGATAATGACTATTGCTAAGGAATTTCCCAACAAGTAACTCAAAATTATGCATTCTCATTTCCACATCTATCACTTTTTCGCACCGACAAAAATTCACGTTATAAAATTTTTTCAATGCATGGATTTAACTTATTTTACTTGAAGACCAAGCACCAGTCCCAGCTTCCTCTTTAAGGTAATCAATAGCATAAACAAGGCTCTAAAAAAAAATTCGTAATTACTGCTATTCTGAAATCACGTGAAATCACGAGTATGTTAATTTTAACAAATTTTCCTCAATTGTCTACCACTTGTCGTTTAATATTTCTCAAAATTGCATGTTTCTGCAAATCATTGACCTGTTTTCAGTTAGTTCTTGGAATGAGTGAACAACCTTTCCTCTGCATTTTTACCGTTTTATACTTGTTTATTTATTTACATTATTTATTTATTCATTTATTTGTTTGTCTATTTGTTTGTTCACCTGTCTGTCCATTTATTTATTTGTTTATTTTACCAACCGTTTATTTATTTGTTTATTCATCTCACTATGTATCGATTTATTTATTCATTCATTTATTTATTTATTTGCCTATTGATTTGCTTATTTGTTTGCTTATTTATTCGTTTATTTATCTGTCCATTTACTTCTTTATTTGTACATGTATTCGTTTGTTTATTTGTTTATTTATCCGTTTGCTTATTTACTTATTAATTAATTTATTTATTCGTTTACTTATTTATATGTTCACTTATTATTATTATATGTTTACTTTTTTTTTCGCTTACTTATTTTTATATGTTTATTTATATGTTCATTTATTTATTTGTTTATTATTTGTTCATCTAATTGTTCATTTATCTGTTTATTTATCTATTTTATCTATTTATCTGTTCATTTATTTGCTTGTTTACTTGCTCATTTATTTGTTTATTTATTTATCCATCTATTCACTCATTTTTTCCACTTATTATATATTCATTTAGTTATTTATTCATCTATTTAGTTATTTATCCATCTATTTTAGCCATCTGCCTAATAATTTATTTGTCTATTTACTACTTCTATTGGAATGCAATTGGTCATGAATCACCATGTCATGTGTGACATACGGTACACAATGAACGGATGTGGTCATTAATTGAACTGTTGCAAAGAATGGACCAGTAATTGCTGCTGGCAATATCCAAAAGTTCATCAACCTCACTATTTCCTAAATTTTGAGTTGAAATATTACTTTCAAAATTCTGCCGTCTAGTAAATTCTTAGGCGAAAAATGCACTCAGTAAAATTGTTCAAGACCATGGGCCATATTGCAAATTTCCAGCTCTAGACTTTGGATATTTCAACCTAATTTTTCGGCGAAACAAAGCGAAGTGATGTTTAGGAATCCTTGGATATGCTTTGATGATCTGGAATATGTTGGAATTAAACCAAAGATATAAACTATTATACGCGAAATTTTATGTGGGGAGAAGCATTTTTGAGTAAAATAAGTTTTAATATGAAATTAAAATTCTTGTGGAAATAATCTTGAATTTCAATATAATTGCCACTCTACTGCTTGCATCCATCAACGGCTATTTCTGCTATGAATAGTAGTGGTCAGGTTATTTTGACATTTTTGTGGACTTCCGGAATCTTTCAGTAGGTTTCAAACAGTTCAGTGGAAGCAATTCAAGTTCTTTTCTGGAATTTAAATTGTTTGAAGTGGTAAATTTCGTTGTCGAGCTTTTCTCATTTTTTGTTTGGTATCAATTATAATTATGAATATCCTTCTTTAAGGTTTTTCTAATTTTCTTTAAAATGAAACCTGTTCAATGTATTCTATGTTTGCTAGATGATAATGTCTCACCTGATTTGCTGCCACTACTACTACCAGCTAGTTGGGAATTTTTCAGAAACTCTCAGAGGACTTATTTATGTTTTCTGAGTATATCTTAGTGAAAGATTAAAAACCGAACGCTCTCCTCTCTCACCTCCTTTTCGTTAAGCTTTTTCCGGAAAAACTCAAATTGGGAGAATTCGAAATGAACATGATAGAGGCAAAGACCAAGACACGGCAAACATATTGTTTCCTATTTACGAATGTTGACTTATTAGGTTAGTGAGTGAGAGAAATCCAAATTCTGATGTTCCCAGTAACGATGCTTGATCACAATTGTTGTGCTACATTTCACAAAGAAGACGTAATTAAGCACTGGAATAAATCTGCATATCACTCTGCATATGTATAACACTTACAGATCATTGAAATCAAATGATGAATGGTTATAAGGTCTATCCCGAAAATCCCGGAAAATGTTGGTAACGCCGATAATGATTACTCAATGCGTCGTAGCATGGGTGAATGGGTAGGTGATGGTCATGATTGAAAAGGTCGAGGCGAAGAACGTGGGAGAGGCGGGGCGCTCATTTCAGTTAGCCACTGCAGAAACTCGGGGATGGGTTGCGTCGATTGAGCGACCCGAATATGCTGCTGCTTCGTGGTGTAGCAATTTTGCACCTGACCCTTACAATTAAGACTGCCTCCAATTCATGTCCACATCTATGCTCATGTTCTCAGGAGACAGTCGTTTGTACCGGACAAGGTCTTCTTAGGATACCATCCAGGATACCACCAAACACCGTGCGACTGTACGTTTCTTTTCTTATTTATTTTTTTTGTGGAGTACCACAACTTATCCACGGATGTAATAGAACACCTTGATGTATAAATAAAAGTCATAGTTAAAAAATAGTTGCAGAGACCTTCAAGAGAACAAAATATCAGAGGTACGAAAGAATGACCTTAAAGCTCTACGCCATCTCAAAATCTTGTTGGTTGCATTACATATACCTTCCAATCATCTCTCTGTATGATAAGTGTCTTCTATTTCCTTCATTTCCCTTTGTTTTTCTTTTTTTTTTTTTTTCACTGACTTGCAGTTTTAGTGTACCCAATTTCAAATCATCAAATTTTGTGGTTTTTAAATATTGGTTTCAAACTGCACAACAAAAGAGGCATTTCCTTTCCAATGAATGTTAGAGACATTGTAAAACAAATTGGCACTACTTTATTTGGCCGACTGCTAATGAATTTGAATATTTAATAAGCATTAGACTTACAGACAATTGATGGATAATCAGATTCACATGATCGAAAGTGACGCCTTCGGTGATTTAATAGCACTGGAGAGGCTGTGAGTTTTTATTCAAATAGCTCATTTATTAGCTCAATGATCAGCTTTGAAAGATATAAAAATTTATCAAATTCTAACATTTGCAAATTCATTGCTGTGACAAGTTGAAGTTTCGAAAATTAATCAAAATAAATAATTGCTCCAGCCCAAAACTCAGTAGTTAAGTCGTGAATTTACTATATATTTATAGTGAAACTAGTTTCGAATCGTATGGGTAGCAATTTTACAGGCGATTAAACAGAAATCGTTTACGGACATTACCAGACGAAGTCTTCATCAACAATGTCAATTTACATCGTCTGTTAGTATTTTCGAAAGTCATAAAACCTTTTTATGTTGTGGTAGAATGATTGGAAATTCTTTGAAACTAGTTTTTCGGATTTAATTTTCTTGAACCTAGAAGCTAGATCCACTTGTTGCCAGGGGTTTTTTCGTTATCAGAAAGAAACCAAATGTTGATTTGAACCAAATTGTTAATTTGAAGTGCAAGGCCGGCTTTTGTTGGTTTCGAAATGTTTCAACGTTGCTTATTAATTAGTCTTAAGTAATTAACAGTATATAGATATTCAGCAGAATTCAGCTGAAATTCCATCTATCAAAAACTTGAAGATATAATTTACTCGTTATTCGTTGCTGATGAAGTTTTTCATTGAATTCGTGAAGTAATTCATTCATTCTTGCTAAGTCCCATATTTAGTTCTGATAAATGTTTTAGTAACCAACCTTTCAATCTTCCATTGCGTACATTATTTACAGATCTATTTTATTTACTAATATAATTTTATCTTTACTGCGTCTGAGTACTTGATCCAACACAGCTGTTTATGTTACAAGAGAGGATAAAGTGATCATCAATGAGAAAATCAATTTGTTGAAATATTTTGAAGTTTTTAAAGACATTTCACCAGACTTTATGCTTCTCATTATTGCATTGTTTTGGAACATTTGACATCTGTAAAATCGCTTTCCTTCTTTCTTATAGCAAACTATGTTTGGTTTTCAAGAACAATCCACTGCTCTCAACATTTCCTCAATTTTTACCTTTTTAAGAAAATACAAATGCGCACTTTGCAAGACGTAGCAATATTCCGAAATTTTGTATCTCTTTTAAACAAAATTTTCATGTAAACCACTATTTGAGTGTCGTTGTCCCCCACTGTGACAAAACTACCGATGACATCTCTTAGCTTTTCATTCACATTGGAATTAGATATTTCAAGACGAGAAAAGGAATGAAAAAACAATACACACTTGTTTAAAATGACTGTTTTTTAGAAAAAAAAAAAGGAAATTTAGGCGAAGATGAAGATGTTGTGGTTGAGATGAGGAATGAGCAAGCAACGCATATTTTCAGGGTTAGAGCTATATCTATTTGGTCTATGTTCTTCCCTGCTTTCCTCTTTGCTAAAAATGTTATTGTGCTTGTTTATATCAACCCCATCGTGATCAGCTGAGTGATATTTTCGAATCACTGAAATAAGTTTTTCAGAAAAAGCAATAAGCTTAAATAATTATAAGCTCAAAGATTCTATTCAAGATATACTAACATTTTAGTGTTTGAAAATTTGATTTTTTTGGAATATAACTTGGAGAACTTTATTTTTTCTAAATCTTTGGCCAATTTTTGTTAAATTTTTTGGCCAGATCAGAACCATTTAACAATCTTTTCTAGCTCCCTGAAATTCTAGAGCAGGAATACCGTAGCCATGATTATTTTGAACTCTCTCCGTCTTCATTTATTACTCCAATAAAATCCTGAATGGCCTGTGAATCCGTTTTGACGTGTAAATTTCTGATTTAGTAGGCATATCAGGTTAGATAACAGTGATCAAATGATTAGCACGCAAAGAATGCAAAGTGAATGAAAGGAAGATTATGATTTAGCTTAAGCTATCACGGTTATTTTAGGTTAAATCATTCCAACTTTTATTCGACAATGCTTTGTTTACTTTTCAGTTCGCAAGAGTAGCAATGAACTGGTAGTTGGAATTATATGCTCCTTTACACTCTTCAACTTCTTTTGCTAGAGAAAGTGTCTCTGATCTCTTCATTATCCTTAAACTCCTTTTCCTTCAAAGTCACCTACTTGTCGTCATTGTTAACTCGGCAGCAAACATCAAGATAAATAGATGCATAAATTTGCATAAACGCGCTCTCTACACCACTTAACTAACATTGTAGAAAACTTTTTGGAAAGTTTTACCTCATTTTCTCTTCGTTTCTATCTTTATGTTACAAGAAAACCCCTGTTTTTAAAACTTCATTCGGAAATTATTCTGATATATATATCAGAAAAAGAAAAACGAGTTTAATTTCTACGAGCTAAAGCAGCAAATATATTTTATATATATATATATATATATATATATATATATATATATATATATATATATATATATATATATATATATATATATA